TACATACATACATACATACATACATACATACATACATACATACATACATACATACATACATACGCACACAATATTTACCTGAACCAAGAGATCAACGAGCAGCGTGATCTAGCCAGTAAGATTCTACGAAAAAAGAGAGCCAGTTGGCATGCGTTCAAGTCCATTAAGGACGTTTTCCTCAGCAGCATCAGGAAAGAATCCCCGCCCATCTGTTGCATAGTTATGACACGTGATCATTCATTAAGAGTGTAAGCTATCTATTACCGATAGAGTCATGAAAGGAAGAATGTTGAGAATTTCAGGTCGCGTCCACGTTCCTAACCCAGTGATCAGACAGACAACGGGAGTGAAGGATATTGTCGTGGTAAGCATAAGGCACCAGATAGAGTAGGTCAGGCACCTAACACGGCTCACCAACGAGAGATGATCAGCGATGATGGACGATGATCGTCAATCGGTATTCTTGCTGGGTGTATTAGGCCGCTTGGCCGCCCACTGCTACGACTGGAAGATTATATCAGAAGCCAGTAATGGCACGCTTGGATGGCGAAGGCTCTAAACTTCGAGAAATGGAGGGCGTGTTGCATCGGACACGATTCGTCGCTGATTACCCACTGGTCCGAATGATCCCAGTGACTTGCTATCTACTGTACTTGTATTATGCTTATATTATGAAGAATTCAGTTCGATTGAAAACGTCGGAATTTTTTTTTTAATAGAATTGTTATTCGGTGTAAGCCTTTGGATAATGAAGATCAAGAACTTTCAACCCTAATAAAAATTCAGATATTATCCTCATAACTGAAAAATTTGTTCTAGATCTGCAATTATGAAGTAACAGATACATGCATTTCCCTCAATAATCGATTTATTTTCACGGCTTAACGTGAATTTTTATACCAAAAAATGCATGTTGGCGACGCTTTACTGCTACGTTTAATGTTTTCTTAACGACTAAATGTCATTAACTATATTTGTCTCTGTTCATTTTTTCCTTCTTCAGTCAACATACTCGCATCAGTTTTCTTTCAGTCTAACTGTTAAATCGTCATAAACCGCAAACATATGATGTGGTGAAAAAATCTTCTTCCCTCTTTTTCAACTCACACGACCTAATCCTTCAGGAGTCGAGTGTGTAGAAGGAGCGGCCTTCCACTAAACAGAGGCATTTTGAACCGTTTGTGATCACTTCTTGATTAGACAAACGTTTCAGAATGACTCATCAAACCTCATCCCACAGTACTTCACTTTGATACATAACTCATTTAGTGGTGCTCTCAGCGCGACAGTGACGTCGTTCCAGACGACGATGAACATTCCGGACATGTTCCTGCTTGAAAGATTCCCTCATGACTTATCGTGGTTTAAATCTATGCAACGGCAATTTACAGCTTTCGAGGAAAATAGATGCAGTATCATGGGATCACCGATAAAAACGCCGTTGTGAAACTGTTTTTAAATGCAATCAACCTATATGCCATAGCACCTTTAGTTACTGTCTTTATTCTTCTATTGAACTTTTATGCAAGGACATAATGAAACTTAATACTGTCTCAGAAAAATCATTTTTGAATCGCGTTAACTACTATCAGAGCACTTGTGAAAACTACACTGCACCATGCCTCGTCCTGTCAGATACTACCATCATATGGTTGTTACTCCATTTCTATAGCACAGACGCAAGCAGAGGATATGAATTCGTTTGGCCTTCAAAGGAAAATCATGCTCAAAAATGGTTGCATTGAACCTGATGCTCCACGGCCTGAACATGGAAAGTTATAGAAGAAATCAGTTAGCATGCAGTGACAGTCTTAGTCTAACGTTTGGGAAGGCTCCAGATGTTTTTACGCCTCGTTTCTCATGCTTCCACGCTTTACATAAGTTGCGTTGAACTAACAGCCGTGAAAACTATCAAATGACGTAGCAGATTCCAAACCTTATTCTGACTGTCGCTGTCTTGTTATCGCATATGAGACATACATTATGTGATATTACGTGATTCCTCTATCCCATTCATATTCGCATTATAACATTACTGGTGAATCGCTTCGTTATGATTCAGTGCTGTTCGCCATCCCAAACAATAACTCCGTGATCTGCTTATTCGTAAATTCTGCAATTCGCAACTCTGCTGTTGCCAGTACCAACCCCGCACAACAAACGAGGAAGATTATACAAAGTGGCGAAGTCTTCGTAACGCGTAGCCACCTGTCCTTCATTGTATTGCCTTCATCGAAAATTAAATCGGCTCGGTCGTCGCAAGAGTACCGAGGGCCGCGAAGGCTGTTGCGGCACTGAGGTAAACTGCGAAAAGTCGGCGACCAGAATCTGCTCATCGTCTTCTGACAGAAGAGAGCGTATCAGCACAAAATCAGCTGACGAAGACCAACGAACCGACGGAGTCTCTACTCGTTCTGAACGGAGGAGGCATAGAGAGCGATGCCATTATAGCACCTCAGAAAAGGCTCCACCAGAACGACACAACCTCGTGGAGGAGGTGGGAGATTACACAGGGAAATTGGGATATATCTTCACTCAGAGAGAAAGAATAAAAGTTGAATGGAAGTACAACAACTCCCTTTCTTCAATCCGCTGATGTCTTCTCATTAGTTGTCGCAGTTTGACAGACACGTGTAAGCCATCACATGCCTTGTTCGCATAATGTCTTGAGCATTTCAGGGCAGATTTCACCAATAACAGCAGCCTTTCCACTTTTCAAGCATATCACAGCTTGTGGAATTTCATCTTCAGAGATACTGATATCCGTTCTCTGCTATTCTACAAGCGAGTCTTCCTACGGTTGCTCAGGGTTAAGGAGTTCCTCAAAGTACTCTCTCCATCGCCGAAGAATATCCTCATCCTTGGTAAGAGGGTGTCCAGACCTGTCCTTCAGGATTCTTAAACTGCCCTTATTTTCACCTCAGAGCCAGAGAATCGTCTGCCAGAATACCTTGTTTGTCGTCTGCAAGAATACCTTAATCGCCGAACTTCTCCCAGCAATTAGCTTTACCTTTCGCCACTGCTTACGCTGCCGCCTTGCGTGCCTCGACATAACACACGCGAGTAGAAGGCTTTTTATTCCCAAGCCATTTCTTGAGCGCTGCTTTCTTCTGTTTAACTGCCAGTTGTACCTCTCGTGATCACCAGGAAGTTCTTTTCTGATCTCCAGACGGCGGTCCAACCCGTTTAAATCCGCAGCATTCGGCGGCACCCTCAAGCACGCCTCTCAGTTTCTACATTATTGGTCATCACCGGAATCTGTTCAAATCGTCGTGCGATGTTGTTTGCAAATTTCGCTCTCGTGTCCAACGAAGATAACGTTTCCCATTTAATTCTCTCGTTGCTTCTGCCACCAGTCTCTCGCATGGTACTCTACTTCTTACAGCGTAGGATGCCAACAACAACGTGGTGATCGGTTGATAGCTCTGCTCGTTTCTTAACGCGAACATCTATTACTGATATTTAGTATAAGATTGTCAAATCGTTCATCGACTTCTGTGAACAAACTTTCCTGTACCAGGTATACAGATGCACTTTTCGACGATCGAAGAAGGTGATCATATTCGACTGTCCGTTGTTTACTGGAAACTGCAACATTATCATGTTATTTTTGAGGTCGCTAGGGCCGTTTTTCCCAATCACGCCGTTCCACTTTTCAGCGTCTACTCCGCCATCCGCATTAAAACCGCCCATCAGTACGTGGGCCTCTGTATTCGGCACTTCGGACAAAGGACTGCATTTCTTCAAGGAAGGTACCATGTTCTCCTTCTAAATTGGGCGCATAGACCTGTGCCAAGGTCAACGTTTTAGCTTGTAGCTTCAGTCCGAGGATTACCAACCTTCCGCTGACAGGCTTCCAATCGATAATTCTATCGGGAAGGTTGGTGTTCTACTAGAACGCCAACACCGGCCAGAACGCGAGTCGTGATATCGGCGCTTAAGCAGAACAGCTTCCATCCATTGAGGTTCAAGAGTCCAGAACCTTAGCGT